TAGGAGTGTTTTATCAGGTTTAAAGCCACTGCACGTGACATATTATGGTTGACATGATTTGCCAATAAGCTTATGAATTATTAATGAGTGTTTGAAATCTCTTTAAAAAACTCATTTTAAAGTAATTCAGGAGCAAAACACAAAGAAAAATCATAAGCGTATCGTGTTTTATAAGTGATAAAAAATCATGTTAATTTACATAAACTTTAGCTTTGATTTTCTCGGTTTAGACAAAGTTTATTCTAAAAATTACTTCGCCAATGAACTCGTATAAGATGAGTCGTTTTTTAAGTCATTTAAAGCACTCGTAGTCGTGTTTTATCACATATAAAACACTCCGCTACACGTTGTGTTTTAGTATGTGACAAAACACTCCCACTCGTGCTTTAAATAGTACATAAAGCACTATGCTTTATATAATAATTGTTAATTATCACGACTGGGTAATTAAACTAAAACACTGCTATTGGTTAGTTGGGCAAAAAAAATCAGTAATGATGTTTGCATAAACCAAGATAAAAACAGATAATGAGGAACGAGTGTTAAAAAGTGCCCAAATTAAGAAATGAACCAAATCACTGGAAACAACACCTCGAAATTAGTAGGTACACAGAGCTTGACGACGTTTGGAGATATAGTGTCTGAATAATGAGCTTTCAAAGATTGTGAAATTACTGATTAAAAGACTGTTCTTGGGACCAAAAACAAAAATTACAGTACATTTCATAGCACTGAATATGGGGATTTTCGAAAGCCTATTATTCGAAGGGTAATCATGTAAATGTCTTCAAACTTTGTATACTTACTAATTTTGAGGTGGTCTTTTTAGTGCTTTGGTTCATTTCTTAATTTGGGCACTTTTTAACACTCGTCCCCAGTCCACTCATCAACTTCGGAATGGCTAATTCCTATATCTATATCTATGGGCTAATTATATCTGCATCGAGTTTCCTAACCTTCTTATTCTAACAGATGGTGGTCAATTACACCAGAGTGAGAAAATTAACAATAGTTAATAAAATAGATGAAAAAATTTCTCAATTCTGATTGGCTAAGAGCACTGCAATTTTTTCGAAATACGGTGCCAAAAAATGAAATACAGTGCAAAAAAGAAGAAATACAGTGCAAATTTCATTGACTATTTAGGCTTTCTGATTGGCTTAAAATATGAAACAATAACAAAGATAGCCAATAAGATACAGCAATTTCCAGCAGGAAAAAACATTTAGCAAACATTTTTTTCAAACATTTAACAAACATTTTTTTTATACAAAAAACAAACATTTAGGAGTTTTTAGTGGTGACTGCATAATTGTTTCATGTATATTATTAATAAGTAATAATAGTATGATCTCTCGTGCAATTTGAAAAAACATGCACTCGTGAGTTTTTCAAAGACTTCAATTGCACTCGAAACCATTAGCTATAGTAATTTCGTTATTGTTATATGTAGTAGTCTAATTCTCTTTCTCATATATGTGTCAACACAACTGAAATTCTCTAATGTAATATACATGGACTATGTCTTTCATGAAGTTGGACACTTAAATAATGACGTATGTTACCTTGAATTTCCATCGTGTAAGAATGATAAATTTCAACGTATGATCTTTGCCTAATAGCTCTTCATTACAAAATATATCTATCTAAATGGCATAAAATAAACGATTTTCTAATAAGTACACATATATGAAGAAGCTTCTTAAAGGACAAGCTAGGAAACACAGTGACAGACCCACCCTGGACTCATCCACCGTTTTCCCACCCTTGGAAACCAAGAAAGCAAAAATATTTTCTAACAAACTTAAAAAACATATTCCTTTACCATGCAAGTTTGAGTTCTTAATTGCAGACACAATGTCGCTAGTTTTCCTACGTTCGGAAAACATGGATGGATATGAAACAATGTTCCTTATCAAATGTGAAAACCCATTCCAAAAAGTGTGCGTTGGGGGACGGGGCACGAAGCCGGCCAAATGACGTAATTTATTATAGATTATATTACGTATGCCGCCCAAATGGCGCGTCCTCTCCGCCCCCCCGGATTGATCACGTTGTTCCTTACCTAATAACGCACAAGTTGGTACAGGTCTGCAAAAAAGTTGTTACACAAATCTGTTCACAAGCTGTCGACAAGTTGTGTTCGCATTGCTTGTTCACAACCCTGCAACGAATCTGACAATATCAACAAGGTTGTTACAAGTTGTTAACAGCTTCTTCCAAACTTGTTGACAACTTGGGACAAGCAGTGCGAACACAACTTGTTGATGGCTTGTTGGCAAATGCTACAAGATATGAGATTTTTAAGTGTGTAGTTTGCTCTGGGCTAATAGCTTTTTCATTTTTACTTTAACATTAGTATAAATTACAGTAGTAATCAGGGAAAATCACAATATAAGTTACTCGTGCCGTAACAATGTTTTTATTATTGTTGTTTATATATACTTACATCTGTGTGACTTTTTAATTTTAATTTCTTTGCAACATATTTTCTAAGAATTTGGACAGTTGCTTGCGATGACAATCTTAGATACTTTCTTTTCAGTGGCTAAAATACAGAAACGTTTTTAATTCAGTGGATTGATAACATTATGCAGTTCAAAGAGGACAAATATTAAAGAACCCAACCTGTATTGACCTTTTGTTCTCAGGCAGCCTACAAAAGACACAACAGTCAATACCTTAAATACTGAAGAAATATATAAAAATGTAATGCAGATTATCAGATGATCTCAGTTATTTATGTGGATCAAACAAGTTTTTTTAGGGTGTGCTGGGCGAGCAGCCAAGCATACCGAACCTATAGCACTGGCCAGCAGCGTCCTATCATGAAAGTGCACCCAGTTTGCCCACCTACGGGAAGTATACATTGATAAATAATGCTAATTAAGATTACGTGTACTGTAAATGTAAAAAACACTTATCCGTACCTTTTAAGAACGTTATTTTCAAAGGAATTATTACAACGGAGAGATGTTGTTTCGCTCAGCTTCTGAATATTGTAATGTACATTCCGTATCGGACAGGTGCTTTTTCGCGCTGCTGCCGCAAGCTATCCAGTATAATGTAAATGTAGCCTAGGGAACAATATGTTTCCTGGTTTTCCCATGATCTTTGACACCCTGCTGGCGGAGCCTATTTTACTTCGCGAAATAGGCTCTGCCAGCAGGGTGGATCTTTGAGAGACGTGACTGGGAAACAATAACGATATTAATCCTGGTTTGTTCACCTTCGGAAAAAAAGGCTAGGAAACAATGTTCCATACAGTATTCTATAGTTTTCTCAGTTTCTTAAAATAAAGAAAAATTACCTTTGACATTCCAGACAAATTGCAACTTGTTCATCATTCCTGTGGTAATCATTTTTGCGTTTATATGATTTGCTTAACAAAGAGTTGTGACTTTTGGCTAGATAAGGGACATAAGAACAACCGCACAATATTTTTGCAAATGATGATATAGTGTGTTCCGATACAAAAAATATATCTATTGTTATGACTTTTATTGAAAATTTTAGATAGGTTTTATGAAAGCCACAGGTTTGGTAAATTTTATGTCAGAGATGAAAACATTACGAGGTTACGCCCCCTCTAGTCTCTCCTCAGTTTTTACAAAATTGGTCCTGAAGAAAAGTGGAGGGGCGTGGGAGGTCCGGAGCCCCCATTTCCCCCCGTGGCTACGCCCCTGACGTCAGAAGGATGCACAGTTTCCTGTTCAATTTAAATACGGCAAGTGTACAAAATCCAAACATACCTTTACTTTTTGCCGTTGGATTGTTTTTTCTTTTGAATTTGTCTTCTCGCTTCTTCTCTCCTTACAAACACAAATATTTTTGAAGAAGAATTAAACAGCCATAAAAATATTCTTAATTTTACTATATTCTTAATTACTGAGCACTGATATTCTTATTATTAGAGGGTCGGAATTTGGTTAACTGACTTTCTGATGGACATTCGAAACTCCCCAACTTTTTTCTGTATTTTCAGAAAGTTGCATCCTTTATCAAACCTTGGGAATATTGGTGATTGCTACGTACATTTGCCTGTATTTCCTACTGACTACATCATACAAATTATCCTAACCGATACTTGACAAACGATGAAACAGCAATTTGGAACTGACATCTTACAAACTTATCTTAACTGATAGGCTACAAACGACGCGAAGCAAGAATTTAGACCACATTTAAATCCTGTTGTTACTCAAAAACAATTTACCCTAACTCCAATATTGTTCATTACATGGAAACGATTAAACGGCAAAAAATCCGAAAACACAGCAGTTGTACTTACTGTTTTGTAAACTTGGGACTAGTTTATATACTACATCTTGCATTGTTCTATCTAATCTGCAAGAAATAAAGGGGGAAAATGGTTTGTCATCGCAATACTGATGGATGTGTGCAGATGGTGATAATAATGATGGTAATGACATTATAATGAAGCTAGTGGTACTGGTGATGTATGAACTGTATGGTGATAATGATGGTGCTGGTGATACTGGGGATGATGATGGTCATGTGATGGTGGTGGTGTCCGTGATAATAATGATAGTGAAATGATGATGGCGAGGAAGCGATCATGGATGGTGATAGTGATGATACATGGTGGTAATAGTGATAGTGATGACATTGGAAAGTGATAAAGATGACAGTGATAACGTTCAACATTGTATGGTAATAGTGATGACATTGGAAGGTAATGATGGTGATAGTGATATTGCATGGTGATAGTGATAACATTGCATAGTGATTATGGTGATGACATTGGAAGGTGATGATAGTGATAGTAATGATATTGGAAGGTGATGATAGTGATAGTGATAACAATGCATGGTGATAATGGTGATAGTAATGATAATGGAAGGTGATAATGGTGATAGTGATGACATTGCATGGTGATAATGGTGATAGTAATGATAATGGAAGGTGATAATGGTGATGATAGTGATAGTAATGATATTGGAAGGTGATGATAGTGATAGTGATAACAATGCATGGTGATAATGGTGATAGTAATGATAATGGAAGGTGATAATGGTGATAGTGATGACATTGCATGGTGATAATGGTGATAGTAATGATAATGGTTGCATGGTGATAATGATGGTGATAGTGATGACATTGCATGGTGATAATGGTGATAGTGATGTTATTGCATGGTGATGATTGTGATAATTATAATTAAAGTTGTGATAATTTCGATGGTGTGATATTAACGACAGCACTCGCTATGATTCAGTCAAAGAAACAAAACCAAAACATATACATTAGGTATTTAGGCCTACTTCAATCGTCCAACTTTTCATATACCTAACATACTGCAAATGAGTTCAAACATTGACTTTACATCATCAAGTTCGGCCCAAATTTGAACCATATGCCTTCAATGCACGTACCTTAAATAATTCATTGGATGACTATGATGAATAACTTTCTCACATTTTGGACAATGTGTATTTTCTTCTAAATGTTTCACAATACAACTACGACAAACTAAAATAAATACCAATTTTGCAATAAACGTTTTGTTGGTGAGGTATATACCGAGATACGGTCGACTGTGCTATGTTTTAAATGGTCTATATATAGAAGTTTCTAGCATTCAACGTACATGTATGCAGACATTCCGTGACTGTTGATGCGTTGATAAGATATCCAGAACAAATACTACAAGTTATAAACTCATTGAGTTCTTTCATTTTGATTCTCTGCTCCATGATGCCAGAGCTCTGAAAAAATTTTAATTAGTTCTATATTGGTGGATGGAGTACGCTTCTTGGTATAATAACGTTCTTCATTTTGTTCATAGCCAGTGGCGAAATTTAGCTCTAAGGGGCCCTTGGCCTAAACTCAAAAACGCCCCCTGGCTCTAGGATACCCTGGAGACAGACTCCGGGCAAAGAAACATTTTATGCTATATGTTATAACTGACGAGTAAATGGACTTGTTATTTTAAAACTATAATGTGTAATGATTCTTTTGACGTAAGAAAGAAAATATGAAGCAAAGAAGTTAAACGAAAATTCTGCCAACTAGAAAATTCCCTCGTTACTCTCAAACGTGAAGCTTAAACTCCCTATTACCGTAGTGCAAACTACCAGGCAAACTGTAAACTTTAAGACTCAATATTTTCGAAAAACAAGTGCATGGTATATATAGAAACTTGTACAACACGGATTTTTTTAAAGTTGCATATTTCCATAATCCCAGCGACTATAATTGACGCTCCGTGGATAATCTCTCTAACCATTGATTTATAGGCCTATATAAAGGTCCAGACACACCGGACGCGATTGGACAACGCGACGCGATTTTTTAGTTTTTGAAAGTTAAGAAAACAGCCAATGAAAGCAAATTTTAAAAGATATGTAGACCAATTAACTCAAAATGTTCTATAACGCTTCTAAATATTTGGAAAATTTAAACTAGGATCAAAGTTATCGTTCAGTGAAAATCGAGAAATCGCGTAGCGTTGTCGAATCGCGTCCGGTGTGTCTGGACCTTAAGATGGTTAATTAAACTATGATATTAATTAACAAACAATCTTCCTTGACATATCTATTTTACGCATGTTTTAAAACTGTCATATTTTAACCGAACTATCAACTATGTGCAGTGGGTTGAGCCACTATAAGATTTGCTTGCAAATATACTTCATATACTAAAACTAAGCACTATTATATGCATGGGCGTACCGGGCGGGGGGGGGGGTTGGGGGTTGGGGCGGCAGCCCCCCAGTTTGTTGGGCAAACAAAGCCAGTCGGGCAATATTCGCCTCACAGTAGGGCAAAATTGGTTTATTTTAAAAATAAATGGGACAAATTCTGTCAATTTTGTGGGAAATATGCTATCTAATAGGAATTTTTCGTAATCACTCCCCCCCCCCCGTCGACAACAATTTTGGAAAGTTTCTTCGGAAAATTTTTTTTGACAACCCGGGCACAATCCTTTTGACAACCCGGGCACAACAATTTGACAATCGGGCAAATTTCTTTCCGCCCCCTAATTTTTTCCTTCCCGTACGCCCATGATTATATGCAGCTGATGGTGGTTAACCTTCGGTTATTACAGAGAAAAAACAATTTGATTCTCTCACTATGTGTAGTAGTCAACTAGTCATTATAACAATAAATAGAAGAGAGAGAGTTTAATTTGCTTGCGCTTCTCAACATTTCATTTTCTGCACCTTTTAACTGAACCTTACCAAAACGGCAAAGTTTGCACAGTGAATATCGACAAATCATAAAAATGGCAGAAAATATCCTTACTGTTTGATTGTTAACAACATAGGACAGTGACGGTTTTAAATTTAAAGTGAGGATTTCCTTAATTTTGACGTTAGTTGTTACTGATCGTGACTAAAACACCACACGAGTACATACGAGTAACATACGAGTAACACACAAGTACATACGAGTACATACGAGTAACACACGAGTACATACGAGTAACATACGAGTACATACGAGTAACACACGAGTACATACGAGTAACAT